CGATTGATGCCTAGGAAACATTCCTATACTCAACAAGTAAGGGAATAAATCTGACCTCCGTAAATTAATCAGAAAACGTAATATAAAATATAATGTTTAGAGGTTGTTTTGTGATTTCGTCCAGATTTTTCTCACTTAAAATAATATAAACACCTCAGTATTGTTGGTAAGGAATCAATGATTAGAAATGCAGCTTTCCAACCGTTGTGATATCGTGAAAATTGGATAAAATCTAAATGATATTATGATTTTATAAGAGGACAGGCACTGAGTGTAGGTCGTTCTAAAAATGTGCAAAGTATCACGATCAATGGTATAGTTTCATTGGTATATATATATATTCCTTCGTGACATTTGAGATATTTGGAATGCGAAAAATCAAAGATTCCACGTCCATAGCCACCAATTGTGAATTCCATAATGCTAATTTTTTGATTGAACATTTCTTTTTTATTGTAATTGTTAATATTTTTAAAAACCTACATGTACCATCTTCTTTTCGCAAACCACTAAATCAAAATTATGTTTAAAACTGAGAAGTGTTTATGATAAAAATTCTATTGTCTAGTCCTTTAGATATGTACTAATCTAAATGTCCTAAATCAAAATATATTTTTTTCTATTGGACACTTAATCTGCTTACGGACTTATCTTATGTTCCAGCTTTTCAGATAACATGGTTTTCTCAACTTTGACCCTATTTTATTGCCTTGTTGTTGTAAAAGGTAAGTTCAAAAAAAGGGTGGTGGATGATGCAGAAGAGGAAATCTACTTTTTCTACAATTTTCTATTTCATAAAAATTCATGAAATTATGCTTTCCATCTAAAAATAAATTTATAAAACCTGGAAAATTGCCTTTTGTATAATTTTCACACATTTCTGTTTTCATCATGAAATCTCGTCCTGTCGTCTATGGGTTAATTAATCTGCAATTATATCCAAAATTCACTTTTCTGTTTGATTTTGAGATTATTTTTACCACAATATGTGAAACAGAGAACAGGCATATCACTGAGTGTAGGTCGTTCTAAAAATTTGCAAAGTATCTATATCAATGGTATAGTTTCATAGGTACAACCATTCTTTCGTGACATTTGATATATTTGGAATGCGAAAAATCGAAGATCCCCCGTCCATAGCCATCAATTGTGAATTCCATAATGCTAAGTTTTTTATTAACCATTTCTTTTTTATTATAATTGTTAATATTTTTAAGAACCTACATGTACCATCTTCTTTTCGCAAACCACTAAATCAAAATTATGTTTAAAAATGAGAAGTGTTTATGATAAAAATTCTATTGTCCAGTGCTTTAGATTTGTACTAATCAAAACGTCTTAAATCAATATATATTTTTTTCTATTGGGCGGACTTATCTTATTTTCCACCTTTTCAGATAACATTGTTTTTCTCGACTTTGACCCTATTTTATTGCCTTATTTATTATAAAATGTAAGTTCAAAACAAGGGTTGTGGATGATTCAGAACGGAAATCTACTTTTTCTAAAATTTTCTATTTCATAAAAATTTATGAATTATGCTTTCTATCTAAAAAATTTTTAAAAACCTGGAAAATCGGCTTTTGTATCATTTTCTGTCTTAATCGTGAAATCTCTTCCTGTCGCCTGTGGGTTAAATAATCTGCAATTCTATTGGGATATTTGCACGTGAGGTCCGAGCTCTACTTGTCACCTAAAATATTGGTAACGACCCAATTCCAATTTTCTCGTCAATTTTTAGGTTCGCTTTTTCTTTAAGTTGATGTGAAACTAAGTTGAAATGGTAATGTTAAAATTTAGTGGGGCCTCATACGTTTTTACAAATTTATCTCAAATTTGTAATTGCTTAAAAATATTTTCGAAGTTTCGTCATTTTCTGTTTGCAATTTTTGGACACAAGTACATAAATGAAAACTATGCTGAAATGGAAAAAATGTTAAAATTCATGGCTAACTTCTTTTTTTAAAATTACTAATTAGATAACCAATTAGTAGGAATCCGGTACTATTTGGGCTTAATTTTATTTTCGTAATGAACCCGAAAAATTGCAAAACAAATCAGAACTTCTTGTGTTTTATTACTTTTACTAAAATTAATGTTACTTCGGGATATTTCTGTTCTACTCTAGATATTTCCTCTTTTTGGTTTTTATAGATAGACAACCATTAATTATAAATCCTGTCCTTTTTGGTTTTAATTTTAAATTACCTTTACCAACATATGTGAAACTGCCATGAAATGTAATTGTTAAAGTCCAGTCAGGGCCTAATATATTTTTACAAATTGTTCTAAAATTAATCTTGTAATTATTATTAAAAAATATTTTCGAAATTGTATTCCTTCTCTGTTTGCAATTTTTGGCTATTTTCACGAAAATACCTAAAATGCAGCCAATGCTGAAATTGAAAAAACGTTAAAATCTAGTCCTTACTTCTCATTTTTTCTACAAATTTTAATGAAATTATCAGATAAAGAATAAATTGAAAAAAAGTAACAAATCACAAAAACTCTGATCTTTGCCTTTACGAGTTTTATGTTTTTAGTAAGAAGTGGTAATAACACTAACTTTTAAAGTAATAATAAATAAAATTAATAAATATTACATAAAAGTCCGATTGGCATGGCAAAACATAATTATTTAAATTCTGGGGACGCCATCGACATTATTATTTTATTGACTATCCTTGAATTAATTATACAGGGTGTCGCAGTTCCTTCTGACGAAACTCGGGGAATCGATTCTACTCTTCGTTTGGAGCAAAAACTGCTCAGGAGAAATTTTTTTGGAAAGTTCTCTATTTTGAAGATATTCGTCAATTTAGGTTTTTTCAACTTTTCCTACCTTACCACATGAAAACGCTTACAACTTCCAAAATGTTGAGACTACAATAAATCCAATTACACCATTTGAAAGAACCCTAAATTTGCTGTGAGATACTTCTTTGCAATAATCTGAATGGCATAAAATGTTAGCCAATATCAGTTGGAACATGTCAAAATTACAAAATTTAAAATTTTGGTCATGATTGCACGTTCTACTGAGTTACAAAAAAATACCTACAACTTGTCAAATTTTACAAAAACTTCTTCATCTAATATGCTTTACGTTGATATATCCAGGTTTTTAAATAACATTCTAGTAGAGTTGAAAAATAACAATTGAATGTTCGAAAACGTGAGCTAAGGTAAATTTGATGGGGGGGGTAGAAATTCAGAAAATTTTCTCCTGGGCATTTTTTGCTCCAAACGAAGAGTAGAATCGATTCCCTGAGTTTCGTCAGAAGGAACTGGGACCCCCTGTATACTCAAAATTAAAACTAAACTAAAACCTATATAACTAATGTAACTAAAAAATATATATTACATCATTTTTATAGCTAACATTTGAAAATAATACAATCGTATTAAGTAAAATTTGTCGTGTTTTTCTCTCTAAAAAAACCTTGAATACATTTTTTGGATATTATGGATTTGTATATTTTTCAAAAATAATATTTTTCTCGGATATTGTTTTCAAAACTCGCAAGAATGGGGATAATATTAAACAACTCCACTGATAAACATTATTTCGATTTACAACCCCATAAGAAAGGACCGGGATAAAAGAAGTGGCCACAAGACGTTCTGAACCTCGACCTGAGTAGATCTGTTGTTCTCCTCTATTTTTTTATAACTCAGTGCCCAGGTTGTAAATCTACTTCCATAGCCTCGAGTTCTAACGAAGCAGAGATTCATCTCAAGTCCTTTCTTCCTATGACTACACCTCCCAAAACAGTCACTCCTTGTGATGTAAATTACCCGGTTTCCGAATCGGCGGTCACCTAGCTTTGACGTTATCACGACCCGAATCATCACTGAATTCCCTAAGTACCTATAAGAACAGAAACTGAACTGGAGGACTACTCTATAAAATACTTGGACGGAAATCAAAAATCCAACATACCCCTACAAAACATAACTGAATCTGATTTGGTCATTTGGACTAGAACTGTGGGGCACCACTAAACCTACCCATATCCAACAAATTCAGCTCTTTTAAATCGAAGTCCTCAGAATCATAGACAACGATCCCTACAATATCTCAAATACCAACTTCTTAAATTAATCCTCCTGATTTTAGTTGAGCCTGGACAATAACCATGATATAGGTGCACAGATAAATGTCCTGCGTTTTTCCAAAACTTTAAATTAGGTGATCCCATGTCTATAGCGTCAATCAAGCCAGTTTGTGGTTTATTATTGTTATTATTTTAAGACTGTGTGAACAAAGAAGAGAAATGCAGCTCTCCAATTGTTGTAATATTGTGGTCAATGGACAAAACCTAGAGGAGACCTGGACCTAGATCAATTTCTAAGGCAAACACCGAATATGGTAGGAAAAAATTACCTTGCCTGTTGTACAAAAATGTATACTTTTTGTCTGCTATAAGAATTCTTATTTAAGGGTTTGAAAAGTGAAAACGTTAAATAGTTTGTATAATCGAATAAAAATCTTGGTCTACTTTACTGTAAAATTTTAATTTTTTCAAATTTTGTATAACTAATATTACTTAATACGGCCCTTCATATGAATTTCATACATCTACTATTAAAAAAAATCCAGAAATTTTATAATAATACTATTATCTATAGTATTATATTAAACCTTTAAATTGAAGTTAGTAATTTTATTTTTCTACAAATTTGTTTCAATATTTCTTTTAGTTTTGTGAATTCAATTTATTAAACAGCTAATCTCAATTAAAAATATGCGGTTTAATAATATTTATTGTTATTATTCTTAATTGATTTTGTTTTTTGTTTCAGTTTGACGAAAATGTTTTCTGCATTAGATGTACAGTCAATTAACTTTCTTTTTCAAAACACACATATGGAGATTTTTTTTAGTTATTTCATTTCCGCTAAAAAAGTCACCCTCGAAGAGATGAAAATCTGTACATATTTCAGGAAATCCACGTTGAACCCTTAAGAAACCCAGGCATACCTCGGGCAAAGGGGAAAAATTCCCTCCATGGCATTGTCCAATGGTTGTAAGGGATTTGAGGGCTTTATGACGAAGGGTAGGGGAAAGCCCAACCGGCCCCGTATAAAAGCACCCCCCGGGGGATGAGACCCTTCAGTCTAGTCTTTTTCTTTTCTAGTCACCAGTAGTCAAGTGCTACTAAGCATTCCTAGTCTATATTGCAAGTAAGAAGATTTTTGCAATTTTCCATCACAGATATGTTGAGGTATGTTTTTACAATTTTATTTAATATCTAACTTCTTTTTTTTCTGACATTTCCGTTTTCAATTTTTTTAGTAAATTTAGAAATGGTCTAAAACATTTATTTTGCAAAAGAGGAAAGAATGAAACACTCAATTATTAAATTTGAATAATTTTTAAGTATTTCCCGGATCTTCATTGTGAAGCGTTGTACATTTGGGCTATTTGTCTTCACTATCGACTTACGATTGTTGTCAATTAATTTCACCTTTGACGTAATGGCTAATGTTTCTTTTTTTAAGTATTGCATGAAAAATTGAGAAAATTGTTAAAAGGAAAATTACGAATTTAACATTTATACAATGTTTTCAAACCCCAAAACAATGAGAAAAACATTAATTGTATTTGTTTCATTTCAACATAAATCTTACATAAAAAGATTAATTAATTGAGAGAAGTAATTTAGTCAAAAGACCACAAAAGATAACCTACTTTTTATGTTTCAGAAGCGAATACGCAGGATTTTCTACATCGACATTAGCGATGTTAGCCGACGATTGTCTGGTCCAAGATTTAGAGTCAACGGATCTATTCGACGTCAGTTCTACAGACTCAAGTTTGAGGTCGGCCAGCTTTATGGATTCTGGAGTTCAGGAGACGAAAGAACCCAACAACAACCACCTGCCGCTACAGATTTGCAATTACGGGAACGAGTGGCAATCTGTGGAAGGGACGTTTTTTGGAGAGATTAACTACTGGAGACAAAATGCCATCCCCGAAACGAAGTCGGCTGCGGAAAATTCTGTTTACCCTTATTCGGTCTTCGGAGCGGAAGATCCAAGTACGTGGCAGAGGCAGGAAACACAAGAAAGCTCGAGTTACACAAACAACACGGCTGGAGATTTAGACGATCTGATGAACGTGGTGCCTTCCAATTTCTCCAAAAATTTCGTTGCACATGTTGAAAATGCAGAATCGCCAAACTTCCTTGAAATGAACAACGCGACGACACACGCTGCTGATGCCATGACTCTCCATGAAGAAATCTCGTACCCTCAGAACACCCAAGGATTCGTGGACTTGACAACCGACATAGCAGAACCGCAAGAAGAGTATTGCCCGAACGGTTCCTACTCATTTGGCTCACGGGTCAGCCCGGTAGCAGTTCCAGCTCCGGTCGACCCTATATTCACCCTCATCACAAAACCAACAAAAAAGTACACGAAACGATCCAAAAACGGAGCATCGACTTCCGGCACTCGTAGGGAAAGATCTCTCCACTACTGCCACATCTGCAGCAAAGGGTTTAAAGATAAATACTCTGTCAACGTCCATATAAGAACCCACACAGGTGAGAAACCCTTCCATTGTTCCTACTGCGCCAAATGCTTCAGGCAGAAAGCTCATTTGGCCAAACATTACCAGACACACTTGAACAGGACAAAATCCAACTGAGTACAATTTTGTAAAGAGACAAGCGTAAATTCATGCTGGGCCAAGATTTAGAGTCATGGGTTCTACTTATGGATTCTCCAGTTCTGGAGCTGAAAGGACCCAACAACAACCACTTGCCGCTACAAATTTGCAATTACGGGAACGAGGGGCAATCTGTGGAAGGGACGTTCTTTGGAGAGATTGACAATTGGAGACAAGATGCCATCCCCGATCTGATGTCGACTGCGGAAAATTCTGGCTACACTTGTTCGGTCTACGGAGCGGAAGATCCAAGTACGTGGCAGAGGCAGGAAACACAAGAAAGCTCGAGTTACAGAACCAACACGGCTGGAGATTTAGACGATCTGATGAACGTGGTGCCTTCCAATTTCTCCAACAATTTCGTTGCACATGTTGAAAATGCGGAATCGCCAAATCTCCTTGAAATGAACAACGCGACGACACACGCCCCAGATGCCATGACTCTCCATCAAGAAATCTCGTACCCTCAGAACATCCAAGGATTCGTGGACTTGACATCAGACATAGCAGAACCGCCAGAACAATATTGCCCGAACGGTTCCTACCCATTTGGCTCACAGGTCAGCCCGTTAGTAGTTCCAGCTCCGGTCGACCCTATATTCACCCTCATCTCAAAACCAACAAAAAAGTACAGGAAACGATCCAAAAACGGAGAATCGACTTCCGGCACTCATAGGGGAAGGTCTCTCCACTATTACCACATCTGCAGCAAAGGGTTTAAAGATAAATACTATGTCAACGTCCATATAAGAACCCACACAGGTGAGAAACCTTCAATTGTTCCTACTGCGACAAATGCTTCAGGCAGAGAGCGCATTTGGCCAAACATTACCAGACGCGCTTGAACAGGACAAAATCCAACTGAGTACAATTTTATTAAGACACAAGTGTAAATTCCTCCTGGGACAAGATTTAGAGTCATGGGATCTACTTATGGATTCTCCAGTTCTGTAGCCGAAAGGACCCAACAACAACCACTTGCCGCTACAAATTTGCAATTACGGGAACGAGGGGCAATCTGTGGAAGGGACGTTCTTTGGAGAGANGGAGCGGAAGATCCAAGTACGTGGCAGAGGCAGGAAACACAAGAAAGCTCGAGTTACAGAACCAACACGGCTGGAGATTTAGACGATCTGATGAACGTGGTGCTTTCCAATTTCTCCAGCAATTTCGTTGCAGATGTTGAATTGTACAACTTTAAAACAAAATATATTTTATAAACATAATTTTCTCATGTTTCTTTATTTAAATCCTATTTTATAATTGGTTATGTGTATTTCTTACAATTGTGGACAAACGGTCATTCAACGAGAGTCAATAGACTAAAACAAAACAAATGAATATCTTATGATTTTCTAAAACTCTTATAAATATATTTCTTAAATTAAATTTAAAAAAATAAATAGTTTGCTGACAGAAGGAAGAAAATTCAATACTATTTAATTATGTTAAATAATTTTATGTAGAAATTGGCACTGCTATTTATATACAACCAGCAGATTGGGTAATTTGTGTGTGTGGATTGTAAATGTAAGTCCTAAACAGTTAACTTTGTCGGATTGAGGAACAGGTTCATTGTATAAGTATACGCTAGGACAAGTCTCACGACGGAGTGTAAAGGTGATATGTTGTGATAAGATATTAGTAACACAATTCAAGGGTGAATTTAAGGTCCGTTAAGTTTCACGGGCTTTCAATGTCGATGGATGAATTAAAGGCTTAACATTAAATATCATAAAAATAACATTTTAAAAGTATTCCTGTTGAATTATGCAAATTTAAACAAATGTATAATTATAACTAAAATTTTCTTTGCTATTCTAAAAAACTAAATTTCCTGTTTGTTTTTGCGATTTCAGTTGTATTTGAAAATCATGAAAATTTATACTAAATGAGCTTAAATATACAAAACAGTTGCAAAAAGACACCACACTTTTTGCAATTGTTTTGTATATTTAATCGAATTTAGTATAATCCTGTTTATTATTTTCCTATACGAGGTAAAATAACAAATCAACTCATATATAATAAACTTGAAATACATGCACAAAGAAGGCAGAAAATTAAAATTTAGTGCAAATATTTTTTTTCTCTGCACCTAGGGCCATTTGATAAGAACGCTGAATTAGGTGTCTAATATTTCTTGATTTTATATTACCAACTATCTTAACCACAACGTTTCATTAAAATACTGGCAGACAGATAAACATTTCCTAATTATTTAGAAGCAGAAAAGATCAATAAATCAGAAAAATAATGAAGATTTTATTTTCGCCGTCAACCAACTCCCTTAGTTCGTATTTTGCATAGCCTTTTTTAAATATAAATCATCGCAGTATCGGTTATTTGTGTACTATTAGGCAGCCAATGCATAATAAATGAAAAAGAAATTAAACATCTTGGATACATCGAAGATGGTTCGGCGATTCGCCATTCTCGGTCTCTCCTGTTGAGAATGCAAGAAGGCTTTTCAAACAATAAATCAATAAAACATCATATTATATTTATGCAAATTAAGTAGAAAGTTTTTTGATTTTAATATGTTCATATTTTAAAAAATTAAACGCGTTCGGAGTACGAATATCAAGAGAAATTATAAAAGATTAATCGTCATTCTATGTTATTAATAAATTTCCGTTGATTTAACATAATTTCAAAGGATATTGACACACAAAACAGTTATAAAATTTGTAGTTTTTTATATTGTTAAACAGCTGCCTACTTTATTTAATTTTTTTAATGCCGGAATATTGATATTAAAACAGAATTTTCTACTGACAATGAGTAAAATCTAGTATTCTGTATGTAATAAAAAGAAATAAATTTTAAATCATTTTTTTATTAAGCACGGAGGGCTATACTGTTGCTGTGATGAAGTGACCAGGATTGGGGTGTTTTTTATTCCAAAGACAGTTCTGCCAAACTTTTGTCTTTATTTGTAGTCGTCCTCAAGACTGAATTATAAAAACATACATTTCATGACACTGATACTATAATATTATTTTCACGTTTATAACTCCACAAATGTTATTTATTTAAGTAGTAATTATTAAAATTTATGATTAGATTACACAGACATCCGTACACACGGGGTTCCTTTGGTTGCGCAAAGTGTATGCATATGAACGCCTTAACTGTTTACTATGACTGATAATTTTAATAAGTTTGGCCGGTTTAATTTTGAGGAGACGCCGTTTTCGATAGAATTTGTCTTGCGCCAACCAAGCCAATAAATAGTTTCGTTATCATTAGGTATCTTTTTAGATTAGGGCCAAAAACAATGATGCCGACTATCAGTCTTTTAAGTAACGCGGTTTGACCTATTTAAGATATAATAATTCAATTATATAACAAGCTGGAAGCAAATAGTAAATAAGTTAACATTTAGCGAAGTTTAGATATTTATCTCAAGGCTACACTAATACGATAAACGTGAAGAATTATCAGTTATCGCATTATTTTCTGTTAATATAATCATCATTTTCCAATTAAGTAAAAAATTAAAATAAATCATTCTACTCGGAAAAAAAATTTTAGTATAAAATTTGTTTAAAATTTTCAATAGGCCAATTTAAATTTTTGTAAGGAAAATTTTGGGAAAAAACAACATATAATTGCACCATTAAAAACGAAAAATTGAACATAGTTATGAACAAATATGATATTACATATAGAGCGCCCCTTCTCTTCTGATCTACCATTAAACTCACTTACAAATACCTGCTCGTTACAGAAAGGCAAGGAAAAGCAGTGTGCACTAGACTGGGAATTTTTTTGAAATATCTAAAAATCAATTTACGCCATTTGTGCAATTATTCATAATAAAATTTATAGTAAACTGTGTGTTTTAATCTCTTTAATATATATTAATAATTAAATATAAATCGGCTCCTCATATTTTGTTGTTTATTATACATAATAATTTTCCAGGTCCAATTAGTCCGGTGTGAAAAAACGGAAGGTGGGTTGAGATGGGAATTTGGTGTCCGGGTGGTCGAAGTAACGATAGCTCAAGTGGCCGAGCAGCGGCGTATTGAGCCGAAGGTCGTGGGTTCGAATCACGGTCGTGACACTGGCTTTCTTATTTCAACCAATATCTTACATAAATTCACTAATTTCGTGGTCCGCTTGACCTTGTATCTACAACTGTTCATGTATTATATACAACCAGCAGATTGGATTTCAGATTATGTGTTTAGCATTATGGGCGTTATAGAGAAAGCTACCCTTTGGCAGACGCTCTGGATTAATGAAATGATATTAATCATTTAAGAGGTCTCTTATCCATATTCTTTTCAGACGTTTACGTGGTAATTTTTGGGAATGGAGTAATCGTATTTGTGTGTTGGTGTGATTTTGTAATTTACTAAGAAAAGTATGTAATATGTTTTGATGGATGAAAAAACTGTTGGGATTTGAAGATCTCTGTGATGTGTTTTATTGTTTACATAAAAAAAGGGCAGAAACAATTAGTCTTAAAATTTTGGATTGAAAACTTTCTAATCTTTGAATGTTGGAATACTTGGCCGATCCATATACTTGGCACCCATACATCCAAATTGGTTTGAGTAGGTATGTGTATGTCGAAAGTTTTGATTTTAATGGTAATTTTGATTGTCTGTTGAGTAGGTAATAAAGAATTTTAAATCGTTTGTTCAGTGTCTGTTTTTTTAATCGTGTGTGTGGATTCCAAGTTAGTCTTCTATCAAATGTAAGTCCTAAATAGTTAACTTTGTCGGATTGAGGAACAGGTTCATTTTATAACTATACGCTAGGATAAGTCTCACGACGGAGTGTAAAGGTGATATGTTATGACTTTGAGGGATTAAACTTTATTTTCCCAAGATTGCTCCATTTTTCAATTGTTGATATGTGGTTTTGTAACATGAGTGAAGCTTGTGTAGAAAAGAGATGGCTTGTTAATATGGCGGTGTCATCTGCGTATGTGGCGGTGAGTGTATTCTCATTTGTGGGCATATCAGATGTAAAAATTGTGTAC